GACCGTGAGATTCTAGAGAAATACGCTATCCAGTAAAAGTTAAATATCGTGACAAGTACGAAAGTTAATTATATTATTTTCTGGATATTGGATTGTTCTGTTTTATGATCTGTATTCGAGGGCATTGATTATTATTAATTTAGGTATTTTCATATTTTTCAATTATTAAATTTTATAGGTGTTTAATTGCCTTGTTTATTAATTTGTAGATTTATGAATTTTTGTGTATGTGGAATTTTGAATCTGACATAATGTAATTGAAGTGTATATCTGAAATCTATTAGCACGAAATGGAGAATTGAAGAATTGAAAAATTGAAAAATTGAAGAATTGAAGAATTGAAGAATTGAAGAATTGAAGAATTGAAGAATTGAAGAATTGAAGAATTAAAGAATTGAAGAATTGAAGGCTTGAATAATTGAAAAATTGAAGAACTTATCAACTGTCAAATTGATAAATTGAAGAATTAAAGAATTGAAGAACTTACCAACTGCCAAATTGATAAATTGAAGCATCAAAGAATTGAAGAACTTATCAACTGTAAAATTGATAAATTGGAGAATTAAAGAATTGAAACATTGACGAATTGACAAATGAACAGATGGACACATTGACAAATTGACAAATTGACAAATTGACAAATTGACAAATTGACAAATTAACAAATTGACAAATTGACAAATTAACAAATTGACAAATTAACAAATTGACAAATTGGCAAATTGACAAATTAACGAATTGACGAATTTACAAATTGACAAATTGGCAAATTGACAAATCGATAATTTGAAACCTTAGAAAATTGAAAAATTGAGAAATTAAAAAATTGAGGTAATTGAGAAATTGGGAAATTAGGAAATTGGGAAATTAGAGAATTGGGGAATTAGGGAATTAGGGAATTGGGAAATTATAGAATTGGGAAATTAGGAAATTGGGAAATTAGGAAATTGGGAAATTAGAGAATTGGGGAATTAAGGAATTAGGGAATTGGGAAATTAGGGAATTGAGAAATTATAGAATTGGGAAATGAGGGAAATGGAAAATTAGAAAATTGGGAAATGAGGGAATTGGAGATTAGGGTATTGAAAAATTGGAAAATTGGGAAATTGAGAAATTAGGGAACTGGGGAATTAGAAAATTAGAAAATAAGAAAATAAGAAAATAAGAAAATAAGAAAATAAGAAAATTGGGGAATTAGGGAATTGAGAAATTAGAGAACTGGGAAATTATTGAAATGGAGAATTAGAAAATTAGGAAATGATGAAATTGGGGATTAGGGAATTGAAAAATTGAAAAATTGAAAAATTGAAAAATTGAATAATTAAATAATTGAAAAATTGAAAAATTGCAATTGCCCTCTACACTAAACGCAACAAGACAATACACACACAAAACATGCAATCACTATCTTATAGAGTCTCCGTATTCGTCGAACGTAATTATTCCAGACAACATACGGAGGTTATCGAACCCACCAGCCCGAGTTCACTTCGATCGTAATTTCCCAATTTGCGCATTCCTTTTTTCTCATATTTCTTCTCCGGCAAACGAAATTCACTATGCATTAGCGGAGCGTACGCGAACGAACGTAGACTCCCCGAGTTTCGAGACGCGATACGTTATCGTCTGAAACACGCATTAAATTTTCCTCTATGCTGCAACTTTCTTTCCGAAAGTTTTGATCCACTTGTGAGACCTGTTCCGATTTATTTGCTCGATTGAAACGTCGGCCAATCGAACCCGCTACTACGCGTGGAAAAAATGCTTTGTGAAAGTGTTGCATTATTTTTAGTTCTCACGTCATGGGTTATTGTAGAACTCTAAGGTCGTTGTTTATTCCTGAACAATTTAAATATATTATAGTTTACTGTTGATACATGTTATATATTTATTAAATATTTGCTGTAGTAATAATTTTCATTTTACATAATTTTTTAAAACAAAATTGTTAAAATGTATATTGCATTAATGGAAACTAAGAAATTTATAGAATATGACTATCAAGGATTTTTATTAATGTCCTTAGTATAAAATTAAGGTAGATATGTATACTAAATTTTAAGCTTCAAATTGACATACCATAAACACCATTTTATGGTACTTTTATGTCAACAATTATCATCAGACATTTTGCGTTTCAAAATTATTTGTTGTCTATGAACCAGCCATTTTGTACTACTACTATTAATGAAATATTTATGTAGTCATTTTCGATACATCTCAAGCTTTAAATTGATGTGCCATAAGTGCCATTTTGTAATACTTTTATGTCATGAATTTGTATGAGTATACATAACATCTTATACTTTCTACATTTGTAAAAATCCGCCATTATATTCTGTGACCGTCGGCCATTTTGTGCTAAGAGCGCTAACAAAATGGCGGCCCACTTCCATCAAACTTCAAACGTCCCCACTTCAAAATCCATCATTCAATAATCAAATAAAAACAAATAATCTCGAAGCCTCAAAATCAAAGGCAAATTTCCCGAATTCAAGTACATCGAGTTAAAGTATATTTGGAGAGTAAAAAAGACGTCAGACATTCGCATTATGTCCCTGGCGAACGTCAACAAGAAACTCCTCGCGAAACTTTCAGGATGTTATTAAGAAAAGTTGCGAAGACAAAGGAGGACGCGTTCGAGGGGATGAAAAAAGAAGTAACTCTCGAGGAATTCTTGGTCGATCTCGATTTAACTAGATTCACGAGGGAGCTCGAGAACAGGGACCAGGTGAAAAGCAACGGGAAGTTGCTTTCGAAAGGAAAGTATTTCGAGAACGAGCTTACGTTCGCACATATTGATCGCTGCTTTAAGAACCGAATCAGCCTACTTACGATAAGAACCTCTTCTTTCTAAAATACTAATCATTTAAAAAAAAATATACTCAGGTATCTCTTTTATGATGGAGATATATTATGTATATTTTATGTACTATTTTTTTTGCTGTATTTTATGAAAATATGGTGAACAATGGCTGATGAGAGACATTGTTATCTTTTCGTTCATTATGAAATTTCTGTATAAATTCTCTGTAATGAAATTCATTGACTTAAGATAAAATCAGTTTGTAACGTGTAATTTTTATAATACAATCTTTAGACTGAATATATTTAACAAAACATATATATATTGTAATATTATAAAATATTTTAAAAATATACTCTTCAAGAATATACAATAAAAAAATATTTCTAAGACAAGTTTACAATAATTTCCTCAAGTAAGAAACTCTTCCATAAATTACAACATGAAATTTATACAAAATATATTTAAAAAAAATATTAAGTATAATATTTTTTAGTTTAATAAAAAATACATAATTACTATGCTACTTGTATAAAATTATTAAAGTATAATTTTGTTTATACTTTAACATACTTAATTCTTTATATTTGCTAAATGTATTTTTAAAAAATATAAGTAAAATATAATATTTGTTAGTTTAACAAAAAGTACATAATTACTATTGTATACAATTATTGAAGTATAATTTTGTTTATACTTTAACATATTTTATGTTTTATATTTGCTAAACGTATTTTTAAAAAATATAAGTAAAATATAATATTTGTTAGTTTAACAAAAAATACATCATCACTATTGTATAAAATTATTAAAGTATAATTTTGTTTATACTTTAACATATTTTATGTTTTATATTTGCTAAACGTATTTTTAAAAAATATAAGTAAAATATAATATTTGTTAGTTTAACAAAAAGTACATAATTACTATTGTATAAAATTATTAAAGTATAATTTTGTTTATACTTTAACATACTTAATTCTTTATATTTGCTAAACGTATTTTTAAAAAATATAAGTAAAATATAATATTTGTTAGTTTAACAAAAAATAATTACTATTGTATAAAATTATTAAAGTATAATTTTGTTTATAATTTAACATATTTAATTCCTTATATTTGCAACGGTCCATCAAATTTTCCGTCCAGATAAGTGTACAGATAAATTTATTTTACGGGCAATAAATTTTCTCGGCAACTATCATACTCGGTGTCCATTTTTGATCGACAGTCGCCAACTGCACAATGTATCAACCGAATTCGACTGGCAGCGTGAAAAAGAAAACGTAAAAAAGCATCGACAAAGGTGCGGATAAAATCAATAATGCAGCGAGAACGTCGTCGCCTTTTCAACCGTGGTCCGATCGAGAAATCGACGAGCGTTGCATCGATCTTTCGAGAGGTTCTCGTGCTACCTCGACCCACACCCATCTCCGGCGTAAAAAAGAAAAGAAATCCTTTTTCGTTCGTCAGAAATTTCCGATAGAGGCGAGCGACCACGGCGGAAGATAATTTCGCAGACATCCCGCTGGTTTCCGGCCATGGCGAAAGCTACGGGGAGATCCCGGCTAGCTATCGTATTTTCATCAAATATTCACGCCGTTCGTCATAAATTAATACCGAAATTTCTTCCTATTTTTCTGAACAAGTTCTCTTCGTACACAATTTATGAAATTGTAACTTTTAGATTTTTTCATTTTTGCAGGTTGTGTAATTTTTGTTTAGGAGATTTTTACAGACTCTCGCTATATTGCAGATTTCTGTATGTTCAAATTTGGGAACTTGCCTGATTAGAAATTTAAAAATGTATGAAAAGAGTTTGGAACTTTGGTACTTTCAAAATTTCAATACTTGGAACTTTGGAAATTTGGAATTTAAAATTGAGAATTTTTTGAACAATTTTTAAAGAACAATCTTTTTTCATAAGCTTACAAATCTTCAAATTTTCTCAGATTCGATAAAGTAAGGCAAACCTTAAAAATAACACACGAAGTCTATTTTTAAATTGGCAATATAACGAGAGGCCATCAAATATTAAGTCCTCTTGCTATTGGAACTAAAATTTCTATCACTGTCAACGTTTTTATTGAAACTTAGGATCTTGTATCGATCAGTTAATGGAGAACAGTGATTTTCTTCACCTCCAGCAGATTTTCACAAGGATTAATTAAACTTTGATTTATTATGGTTACAGAGGAATGCACAGCAGATAGATGTAGCAAGGTGCCCTGTTCCCATGGTGGGAAATGCTTGACCACCGGAGGCGACACCGCCGTCTGCCTCTGTCCTCTCGGATACACGGGTGATCTTTGCGAGACCAGGGTAGATTTACAGGTAAATATTCCAACGCGCAATAAATATTGTAGAGTGTACATGGACACTTCATTTTATTCGAGTAATTTTATTTGAAGCTTTAAAGTGGGAAATTGAGAAATTTTGGAAGGGTGGAAATTTGGTGCAGTAATTAGTGGAATTGGAATTTTTAATAATTTAATTTTGTAATAATACAACAGACTTTTTATCTTCGACCGATTCAATCGAAGCCTTTCTTCTCCTTTCGCTATTCCTTGTTCAAATCCTACTAATTTTAAGACAAAATTTTTAAGATGTTACACTAACATTTTATAGAATAAAAAAAATTTTGTAATTTTTTAAGATTTTAAAGGTATTGCCCCCCTTAAATCACTATATAAAACACCCAAAATCCCTATATAAAAATTCCAATTCATCTTGAAAATAATTCCAAAATAATTCTGCAGAATCTACGTAAGTGCAATGTGCGTCAACAAAACAAAAAAGTCCCATATTCCTCAATATTTATCCTCATACCCAGCATGTCTTCGAGTTAATATCAGACAAGCTGATAGCACATTTTATCAAGTGCAGCTACCATTGTTATAATAATCGATATATCAGCGTGTAGTCGGTTATAATCCATCGACGCACACGCGTGTACGCACATCAAGTGCCGTCTGCGGATGAGAGGACAAATTGATCGGCATTATGCCCGGTTCTGCGTTCAAATTTTCCAAAGACAGAGAGGCAACGATCGTGTCAGAGCGAGAGGGCGAAATTGCGCGATAGAAGAGGAAAATTCAGGCGGAAAATTTTTAGTGAAACGCGGAAAATTGCGAGCGTTCAGTTAACTCGATGTAAAATATTCCCGGAAACCGGCTCGACATTTCCGCTTTCGATACGCTCGAAATGTTTGCCTAACGTTTTGAGATTTCGACGAAATGAATTCTGCCTGGTATTTAGTTTAATTGAATATCGAGTATTTGTGACAGAAACGATAAGATCGGAATTTTAACGGCGATCTAGTTTCGGTTCTACAGTTTCCACAGTTTCACAATTCTGAAATTCCACAATTCCACAATTCCGAGATTCTGCAATTTCGAAATTCCATAATTCAGAAATTCCACAATTCAGAAATTCCACGATTCCGAAATTCTATAATTCAGAAGTTCCACAATTCAGACATTCAACAATTCCCAAATTCCACGATTCCGAAATTCCACAATTCCGAGATTCCGCAATTCCGATATTCCATAATTCAGAAATTCCATAATTCCGAAATTCCACGATTCCCAAATTCCGCTATTCCGAAATTCCACAATTCCGAAATTCCATAATTCAGAAATTCAACCATTCCCATATTCTACGATTCAGAAATTCCACAATTCCGAAACTCCGCAATTTCGATATTCCATAATTCAGAAATTCCATAATTCCGAAATTCCACGATTCCCAAATTCCGCTATTCCGAAATTCGACAATTCCGAAATAGCACAATTCCGAAATTCCACGATTCCGAAATTCCGCAATTCCGAAATTCTATAATTCAGAAGTTCCACAATTCCGAAATTCCATAATTCAGAAATTCAACCATTCCCATATTCTACGATTCAGAAATTCCACAATTCCGAAACTCCGCAATTTCGATATTCCATAATTCAGAAATTCCATAATTCAGAAATTCCATTATTGAGAAATTCCATAATTCAGAAATTCCACGATTCCCAAATTCCGCGATTCCGAAATTCGACAATTCCGAAATTCCACGATTCCGAAATTCCACAATTCCGAAATTCTATAATTCAGAAGTTCCACAATTCCCAAATTCCACGATTCCAAAATTCCACGATTCCGAAATTCCACGATTCCGAAATTCCACAATTCCGTAATTCCACAATTTGCAGTTCCGCAATTCCCAAATTCTCACATCCCCAAATTTCTAAATCTCTGAAATCTCAGAATTCTCAAATTCCCAAATACCCAAAAAACGAAATGAATTCTGCCAGGTATTTAGTTTAATTGAATATCGAGTATTTGTGACAGAAACGATACGATCGGAATTTTAACGGCGATCTAGTTTCGGTTTATTAAATCGCTTCGGGCTGGGCTTCCTGAAACGAGATGCAATTTTAGTTTTAATTTGTAAATTTTTAATTCCCTCATTTCATGTTTTTAGTCCTTTCTTTTTAATTCGTTATTTTTCATTTGATACTTTCAGTTCGCACTTTTTAATTTAATATTTTCAATTTGCACTTTCAACTTGTTATTTTTAATTTAAACTTTTTAATTTAATATTTTTAATTTGCACTTTTAATTTGACATTTTCAGTTTGCACTTTCCAACTTGTTATTTTTAATTCTGACTTTTTATATAATATTTTTAACGTTTTTGATTTAATATTTTTAATATGCACTATTTTAATGTGGTGTTTTTCTGCGATCAGAATCAGAGCTGCGATGTCGAATTATAAAAAAAAGTTTCGTTATTTTTCCAACATACTGTGTAGCTGATTGAATATTTTTTTAAATTGTAAATACTTTTTTTGAAATTATAATAAAATTGACATTACAAAAGTTAAATTAGAATAAAGTCGTGAGACTATGAAGACGTCGCAAAGAACAGGAAATGTTGAAAGAAGAAGTAACGTTAAGGAAATTAAATTAGCGTTTACGTACCATAATTGATTTCGATTTAAATCATGAACAAAGGAGACTGTTGCCTCGATGTCGGCGAACAATTAACTATTGCGTCTGCGACTTGGAATAAACGTTCGCTACGTTCTCGATTAATTAAATCTTGACTGAACGACGCAACGTTTCGCCGCAAACTTTACATTTAACCCTTCACCGCAGGGTGAAAAGGCCGTTTGCAGCGTGTACGGGGCTTTTGAAGTCGCCTCTGACAACGCTTTCAGAAAATTCGATTCAATTCGTCGACGGGTGTATATTAAATGGATTTAAAGGGGAGGCAATTGGATCTCGAGGACGAGTTTCAGTTTCGAGTGACACTTGTTCGCTATTCGTTCATATTTCGAATGCTGAGGAATCTGTCGAAACGAGTTTCCGATTCATCGCGTTCTTAAAGATATGTCATCTAAATAATTTCTTGTATTTTCAAAATGGTAATTTTGCAACAAAAAATTTGAAATTTTGCAAATATACGAATACACGAATATCTCCAAAAAAATGTTGTAAATTTCGAAAATGTGTGTTAGCGTCAACGTATTTTGGAGGGTCGTCGAGGGCAATTAGCCTGTGCTATTTTGCCTTTGAACGATTTATGATAGGGATGGACTATGTGAGGTCTATGCGAGAGGTTGTTTATGAGAGTCTAAGTGAGGCGACAGATGATGGCTATTGACTTGGAGTCAAGTGGTCATCAGATGTCGCAGGACTGTGTTCTTTGTCAGTTTGTTATTGCTTTACCTAAATGTATAGGAACGTTGTTCCTAAAGGATCTGGCCACGGAGTGGGGAAGGCATCCTTGCCTTTGGTAAGAGGACTGAGTTTGACCTCTCGGCACTTACCCCAGAACCTTGAGTTGAATCGGTCTTTGCCTTTGCCTTTTTGCCTAGCAGAATATTTTTATAGTTCCATCTATTTCTAACATATGAAGTGGGATTACGTGACGCCGCCCGGATACAGTGAATTGCGATTATTCAGTGTATCGTTGTTGTTGTGCGTGTGTATTTCTTTGTGACACTTAAAACATTAATTGTATTTTACAATGGAATCGGGTGCGCCGCTATCTTCCCTTGACGAGCTCGTTCGTCAGGTGTTGTTGAAGATCGGAGAGAGTGTTGCATCGTGTTCCGCGACCTCCGGGAATTCGACTGCTCCTACACAGACTGGAGTTATTCCTGAATTTAGTGGTAGTGACATTGGGGAGGATGCGAACAGTTGGTGCAAGGTAGTGGAGGAGATTACAAAGGCTTGTTCGACCCAAGTGCGTTTGAATTTGGCGACGCATGCGTTAAGGGGGCCCGCGAAATCGTGGTATCACGACTGGAAGGGTCAGCCACGCACGTGGGAGAAATTTAGTAAAGATTTGTGTTCGGTCTTTGTAACGAGAAAAAACTTACATGAAAGACTGTCTCGCGCCGTGGCGTATAACAGTGATTCCGCAAAGACGTACGCCGAATATGCGCGTACGAAACTGTTCTACCTGGAACAAACTCGTGTCGCGTTCCAGACGGAAGAATTGATTGAGCTCATTGTAGGAGCCGTGACGGATCAGACCATTCGGCAATCATTGTTAAATGGTCAGTATAAAACCACAGCCGAGTTAATAGTGGGCTTAACACAGTTTGTGAAGCCTACCACGGAGAAGGAAGCATCAGAGGATCGTCGCAAGGAGCAAGCTGATAAGCAGCAACGGGGCAAGAAGCGCTGCTATTCATGTGATGAAGTGGGGCATATTCAAGTTAATTGCCCGAAAAAGCGGAAGCTGGAACAGAAAGAGAAACCAGGGAAGCGCCTGACGTGCACCTTTTGCTCGAAGAAGGGGCACGAAGAATCAAATTGTTGGGCGAAACAGCGCGCACCATCTCAGCCAGGACGTAAGAGGGCTGAAGCAAATATTTGCAGTCTGGCAGATTGTAAGACTACGCCAGTGTTGATACAAGGAGTGTTGGTGCCTTCATTATTGGACACAGGAGCAGATTGCTCCCTAATTAAGGAGAGTGTGGCACGGAAGGCGAACTGTAAGGTTATGCCGAGTGCAACAATAGTGCGTGGTTTGGGTAACGTGAGTGTGACGACATTGGGGCGTACCACGGTTATCCTACAAGCGGAAGATGCATCCGTTGAATTGGACTTTCTGGTGGTGGCTGACGAAGATTTGGCCTATGACGCAATTGTGGGGAGGAACGTCCTGGAAGGCGGAAACCTGAGGTTGGTGACCAGCGCGGAGGGAACCAGATTGCAGCGCATCAACGAAACATCTTCGCCGGAGAAAAGGACCGTGGGCCAGTGCTACGTTGTTGGCAGTGGAAATTCTGATGAACGGAGCGCCCTGGAGTCGCTTATAGGAAAGTATCA